GTGCTGAGTCAGGCACAAAACCTCCAGCCTCCATCCCCATTTCTGACCCAGGGCTCCTCCACAGCTGACTCACACCCTGGCCCCCAACTCCCCCCTCAAGCCACACGCTCTCTGTAATGCTGCCTCAGCTAAAGCAGCACCCCACCAGAGGAGCCCCTGGAGCCTTCCCTACAGCAGAGGGGCCAATGCCCCTGAGTCAGGGTAGGACCGACAGCATATGACGCTCCTGAAAAGAGCCACGGTGTCTTTACACAAGCCCTGGAAACGTGGTCATAAATACTTTTTTAAAGAAGAGTCATTCTCTTGCAAGAAGTTACCCAACAGGAGTTTTTGGAACAGAACTTAATCTATTACAAAACAAGCTTTGAAAGAGCAAGTCCAGGAATGAGGAAAACTAGAGAGGCCAACAGGCCAAGTTCAGGATCATTCCATTTGTTTTACAGGAATCTATATGACATACAGACAGGGGGGCTGGAACTAGATCACCTTTAAGGTCCCTTCCAATCCAAACCATTCTATGACATATATATACAGACACACTTACAAATGCACATATTTATGTATTTGTAAACACAATATTCAAAACTTCTGAGCTCAGTTTTATTTACTTGCTTTATGCTAGTGCTGTCCAGTGAGGCCTTGAAACCACAGCACAGACTATACAAGTCCTCTGCCCGGGAACTGTGCCCAAGGTGGGGTCTATGACAGAGACAATGCTCAGAAGACCAAAGCCTTGCACAGGAATTTGCCACTGCCAATGCACACTCCCTGCAGTGTACAACACCATCATCTGAAACTCGGGACATCCAGAGAAATGCCAGTCTACCAAGGCAGCTGATAATTACACATTAGCACTTTAAACAAGTTTCCTTAGTTCCCAAGTGTCAGCATGTGTTTTGAAAAAACAGCAAACACTTTTGAGGGGGAAAACAACACCGCATTTGCATGCTTTAGAGAATCAACGCCTCCCTTCAGAGTAAATCAGGGATGTTTTCATGTACAGCAATCTCTGCTGTCCTCAAGCATTAATCTACAGTCATGGGAGAGCCAGAATTTCAGGTGCTCAGCATGAGCCAGGTCCTGCCCTCTGATCCATATACATAACACAAACATCAGCGGGAGCCTCATCTATATGTGCATGTGTATCTCTGTATCATTTACACAGGTGAACTGGCAGTAAATCAAGTGCAAGTAAAGAATCATACAGAGAGGTTCAAATAAATGTTTAGAGAACACTCACAGATGTCTTAAAAAGGTGCTACTGAACACACTGCAACTAGCTGGATGAATTCTTGTTCGTCATTGTATTATGTTTTGCATGTTCAAAAATTTAGAGACATTCAAACTGCTAGCATGGTGAACAAATTTTTGAACATGCGAAACATAATACAGAGACATTCAAACTGCTAGCATGGTGAACAACATATGCTAAACCTTTAATCCTCTGCAATTGTCTAGCCACGTTCCACTCCGTGAAGAAAAACCATAACAGGCTCCAAGCATGCTGCTCTGCATTGATTAGTAAAAGATGAAAACGAGAGAGACACTTTGCCAGGATAATAAAGTTGTCCTCTTCTTCTAGACATATTTGCAAAAAATCACAGTATGATCTCTAGGGTTTTGGCTACTTAGGACAGACTTCTGTTTCTCTCTGATACTGTGAACTGTGCAAATGCCAGCTCCAGAACAGCTATTCTGAACAGTACTCACTCCCATTTTACAAGTTTGTGATGGAAGGAAGTACATGTTTGATACAGATTTAACATACATACAGATGGACTCCTACAGTTTCAAAAAAAGGTTGTTTCTGCCCCCATTTTGGGCATGTCTTTTTACAGTACTTGGTTTTTGGATTTTTTTTTTTTCTTCTACAAAGAATTAAAGGGAAAATAAAGACCACAGTAAGGTCACTCTGAAATAGCTGTGGGTTTGAACTGCTTGAAAATTGTTCAACTGGTTTTATTCATCCAGCTTAAAATCATATCATCGTAGAAACTCTGAAAGCCATATTTGGCAATGTTCTTCAAGAGTAGTTAAGACACAGGATTATTGTTATTTAGTTGGAGTAGAACGTCCTGTATGTATAAAGCTTGTGTCTATTGTAAAGACTAACTTAAGTGTGGCTGAAGAGTTTATATGCACAAAAAATCAACAAGTACAGGATTCAGTTCCTAAATCCTGTGCAAAAAAAATCAACAGTTCTCGGGTGAGGCAGCAGGTTCTCGGTTTGTAAATAAAAAAAGGACCATGAGTTGTTTAGATACCAATTGCATTTTATCTCCTTTATCTCCTCCAAAGATTGGGAAGATTGCAAGAAGCCAGACAGATTGTAAAGCTGTATCTGAGAAGAACTGTGAGCTATAGACTCAGCAACAGAGCTCATGGCCACAATCTCATATAAAGCCTTCAAGTCATATATTTTCTTAAAATGATGCCTACTAGCAACCTTGGCTCTGTTTACAGAACTGCAATTGCAAAAATGCACTTATCTCATTTTGTGATCCTGCTTTAACAAGTAAAATTTTTACTCCGGGCTGATCTACTTCAACCAGTCCCCAGGCAACTCCACAGAGGTGAGCGCTGGGCACCGCTGCCAGGATTTAACCTGCCAACTCCTGGTTGCCTGCTTCACTACTGAAAACAGTAGCTGTCATAACATGTAAGAAGGGGAGAAACTTAAAATCACCATCTGCACCAAAGGGAAATCATGGTATGTATATTGTAGCCTAATCTCTCTGCAATGGCATTTTGGCTGGACTGCCAGCATTTCAGAGAATTCCTTATCTGTAAGTGGGGCTGTCAGAGTGCACACGGCAATGATCAGGGAGCCTGCAGTCTTCTCGAAACACGTCTCCTCTCATTCATGTTGCACAGATAGGCTTTCACAGCAGACTGTGATTCACGTGTGAGGAATGTTTGCTAGATATCCTCACGGAGCCCACAGACTGTGGTTGCTGCTTTCATTTGGAGCAATCTGAAGATTCATGTTTCTCTCATTAAATCAGTGATGACACAGCAAAGTGCAGGTCTGGGCATGGTCCAGGCTCAGAGTGAACATCCACAAGCACTTCACAGAGCATCTACATGCACACTGTTCATATACAGACATTCTGTATTCACTTGCAATTTGATCATATGTGCATCATAGACATGTCCATTAATTTCTGCAAATACTTACACCATGCCACTAAAAATAAATCTTTACTCTCAAAGAGCAGTAATACCATACTTTCAACACCACAGAAGGTGTTGATTAGCCTCATGCTTGGCAACCTTGTAAAGCTTTACACAGGCTGTATTTTATATACCAACGGATTTCCATGAGTCTCCTCACCATATATAAAAATTAAACCCTTTGCTTAAGGACTTTGCAGAACCAGGCCTTGGCTTTGTAATGTCACCCTTGAGAGAGAAGGACTTCATTTTGATATTTCACATAGGTCTTAACACTGCTTTTTTTGTGTTGCAAATACTCCTCAAACTACCCATGGAAATTTGGACCCAGGGCTGTACGTGTAGGTGAGATGTATGTGGAATATCTCCTGTAATTTGTTAATCATCAGACACTTTCTCATTCCTTCCCTTTCCTGCCTGTCTTCATCACAAAGATGCTCAATGACATATGTTCAAGGCCTTTTCAAAAGAACAAAAGGGAGGAAGGAAGCACAGGTCAAAAAGGGAAATGAAGGGAAGAAGGAAAGGAGAAAAACAGAGGCTGTCAGGAAAGCAGTGCAATTAGCTGTAATGGCATGCTTCATTTTCCACAGAAAACTGTAGTAAGGACATTTAGTACCTTAGAAAAAGTTTATAATCATTGGGAGCTTATTAAAAAATAATAAATAAAAAGAGAGGACTCTATACATACTGAAAGTAACAAGGTGTCCTCTTCCCTAGTGCTTTCAAGAAGTTTCAACGCAATGATGCAAACAAGAAGAGACCTTCAACACTGCCTGTCTACTGAGTCCATAAAATGACACTTCAGTGATAGTTTCAATTAAAAAGTTCTCCACAGTTTGGTGTCTAGCTACCCCCTATTGTGCCCTTCCCCTTTGTTCTACCTCTATACAGTCAAGTAGCTTCTTAAAACTTACCATTCTTGGGGCAACTTATAGTTATCACTTGGAAGTAAATAAGTGAATTGCTCTGAGAAAAAGCTATTAAAAATATTCTGTGATAGCTAGATGAAACAAGTGGCATAAACTAGAGTACTTTGTACAGTTTTGTCAGCAAGATTTATACCAATGTTCAGTGGTTGTCTCTATCAAAATATGGTCTCGCACGCTCTGCTGAAGAGGAGATAATTTCCTGTCCTTTCTACAACCAAGCAGACCATCTCCTTCAGTAACTACCACACAGCAAATATCCACATTGTGCTTGTGAAAAAGCAGTTACAGCAAAGTATTTAAATCCTTAAGTAGCACAGGATTTTGTTTTGCTGTTGTATAGCAACTAGAGCCAATGCTAGGTGACAAAGACAGATCCCCAGACCTCCAAGCAACACTTTCCAGAGAACAGTTTAGTAACCACTGTTGAAACACATTTGACCAGCCCTGGGCTCTTACAGCATACACTGAGCAGCAAACAGAGGAGCCTGCTGAATATACGGTGATTCGCACCTTGCAAAACCCTGTTTAATAAAAGCTAGTTCTTGTGAGCCTGGAATGAACGAAGCCTACTGCCTTATGAGATTATATCTTTTGCCTGGTTGACACCGACGTCTAAAGAGGGCAGAAAACTTTTCTGCCATGATTGAGGTAGATTGTAAAGCTGGGTGCTTTTAGGACCACTCCTAGGTGCTGTGTGTTTCCACAGAACTTGCAGAACAAAAATACTGAAAATTTGTCAAAATCAGTTGGTATCAGCCAGTTTGAAAAAGTATAATAAAGGGAGGGTTACATGAATGGACACATTGCACGTGGTGGTATAAACCTTGCTTCTGCAGAAAAACAAGTTTAAAAGACTCTAACCTATGAAATCCAAAACTGAACTTCTCCACTTACCTTAGTGTTCATACAAGATTTTCCACGTTTATACTCTTTGTGACTTGCTCTTTTATCAAGCTTGTTCCATAAAGCTTTGGCCTTCCACGTGGTCACTCTTGACTTTAGTTTGGTGTAAAAGTTTCTATTGTCCAAAGGATCCAATTCAAGTTGGCGAGTGAGAATATTAAAGGCCTGAATAGTACCTTTGCACGTTGATGCTTGTACAAAGTTTTCAAATATCTGGCCAGCATGACTGAATTTTTCATCATCGTTTTCACCCATGTTCTTAGAGAACTGTTTGAAAGGATTAAGCTGCAGCTCTCGTGGTGGGGTACAGGTGATCAACACTACCAAGTACTTCCAAGCATGTTATTCCTAGAAAAGACGAACACAGGATATGTTAAAGCAGGTTCTCCCAACAAAATTTAACCCATGAACTGTATATCCAATAGGAATATAAAAATACAGCATATGACAACTCAATAACAAGATACAAAAATTCAGTAGTGGCATCCAAGTGCTACAAGTAAACACAATGTACTTATGCTGTCATGACACGTACTTCACGAAGACTGTTATAAAAACCCTACAAACTCAAGCCTACTGCTTCAAAAACATCCAGCTTCACTGAAAGCTGAGGTTTTCTTTAATTTTTATTCAGTGATAAGTGCTAGGTAGCAGATGAAGAAAAACCAGATGTCCAGATGCTTTTCCCAAGCAGAAGTTACGTCACAGCTAGTACATCTCTGGTAACATTTTGGTCTTAAGAATTCTTAGAAATTTGCAGCCAAAAGTCAATGCTATTTGAGGGAATCTTCTCCTGTTGCACGAGCTAGGACCAAGAGCGCAGCTTAGCCAGAGCAATTTAGAATTGGCACAATCACTTACCACCAGCAAATGCACAGAACAGGCGAAGCAGAAACATTATCGCCAGTTATACCAGAACTGAAGAACCAGAAAACAAGCAACCACAGGAACCTCCCCTTTTTCTAACTCTCTTGCCAAAATGAGAAAGGGTTCAGTGTGCTAGTGCATAGAAAGGAATTTTATCTCCACATCTCCGCATGTTAAATGTTACAGTTATATGTTTGGAGTCTTACCTTGTCATGTGCTGACAATATAAAGTAACGATGTTTGGCCCACTAAGCTCCATTGGCTTTTCCTAGTAACGTGATCACCGTCAAACTGTTCCTGATATTCCAGACAAATATCCTTACGTTCTGTAAGAGCTATTCTAAATTAACTCAAGCTTGCAAGAACTAAACTACTTACATTGTGGCTCTCCCTTATCCTTCTTTAACCTTGCTCTCAATCTCTAATGGGGACCATCTTAAAGTCAGCCAAGGGCTATAAAAATATCCAAACGGCTTTCACATTTTCCAAGAAAATTGTTACAGGTTATGTATAAACTTGTTCTCAGCAAAGGGACCACCTGGACTCAAGTCGAGAGATTTAAGTCCTGTATTTTTTTTTCTTGCTATTAAAGACTTATCTACTAGTCCAAGAAATCAAAAACTAAATCAATGCTTGTCTAACCTCCCACATAATTAGTTATTTTGCTTGGAATGTCATCTGTTGGCTGATAGTTTTAGAATAAACTCTTAGAAAGGCCTTTGAAGTTATGCTTTTTAATTTAACACTGTTCACAAACTGTTCATTCTTTGCTTGTATTTCCTTCAAAGAAGAAAAGAGAAAACACAACCAGTGTATTTAAGTAAAGAAGAGACCTTCCATGTCTATCTTACAATCCTCTAATACAGAAAAATATTATGCAACTTCTTAAACAGATCCCATGGGGAGGTATAAGGAAGTATTTGGAATACTCACATTCCCTGACTGCGCTCAAAATAAATAACCTTTGTGTGCACATCATCAGTCCGTTGTTGGTTTGTGGGTAAAATAAATTGGCAATGTTGAGAGTTTGTACATTTTCTTAGACCAAATGTCATGATTAAATATTTGGTGCCAAGAATAAGTCAGGAAATTTTTGTTTTCCCCTCTGCATACTTCATTTACAGTATGCTCCATGCCCTTTTCTGAAGGGCTAATACTTCGTTTATAGTATGCTCCATGCCCTTTTCTGAAGGGCTTTGTGGCTTTGTGAGGTAAAAGCACAAACATTTTACATGCCCTGACTTCCAGAAAGTCTAATTTTTCAAGAAACCGAATGCCATGAACTTCCATTGACTCCAAAGGAGTTGAGGACATCCAGCACTTTTCCAGTTTCAAGTCCCCAGTGATTAATGAGCAAACCCCTCCAACAATTGCATGCCGGCAGGAGGGAGCCCGGCCACCCTGGCTGCCCCGGCATGGGTGTGAGGGGGGCAACAGAGGGCAACTAGAGATGGCAACAGCACAGTGTAAGATGCTACAATATGGCTTAAACAGCTTGATATTCAGGCACCCCAGGATTTGAGACCCATTGAAAAAAAGAATTAAAATCAAGAATAAACACTTACTTTACCCAAATTCCATGTCTGCCTGAGATATTTTTTATAACAGAAAAGCCAAAGTATTTTTCTTTTCTCTCAAAATAATTATGAATAGCTTCTTGGTGAGTGGGGAAGTGTCAGTGAAACTTTCCACATTGGATTTTTCAGCTAAGGGAGTGGCAGCCAGATTAGGTTTCCTTAATCACTCTAAACTCACACCGCTATTGCCTCAGTGCTACCAAAGACTTTGACCGATCTAATAGCTATAAAACAATGCTTCCTCTCCATTGTTTTCATTAGCTCACCACAAGACTGTTATCATGTTCATATAAGCCAAATATCTCTGGCATAATTGATAAGTGAGTTTGATCATAAATTCTTTAATTTAGTATCTTTTCTGCTCAGAGAGAGGAGATTTTTATAGCCCCAGCTGTTCCCATCCAGCAAGGAAGGGGGGAAGATAAAAGCTCAAAGAGTAGAGCCATATCTGAACCAACCAAGGAAGAGAAGCAGCAAGTGCCAGTGCTGATAACGGTGGGAAGACAGAAGAGACAGTCGGCAGGAGCCACTGCAGGCCAAGGGAAGGGAAGGAAAACATTTTCAGCATGATACAAACCAGTGGAAGTAGGTGTTGCACATCCACACACACACACAAATGCACGCAGCACGCCTGGGCTTCCTCCGCCTTTCCACCAGGGAAAAAGGCAGCTGGGAAGGACAACCAGGACACCTTCCCCAGCCTTAAAACTTCCCTCCTCCAACACTGCAAAGCCAGGACTGAGGCTATTCTTTTTGGGCACAAAATTTTCTCCTCATGAACTTCCAAAACACTCCCATCTTGTTCACACTGAAGAGCTGTGGTGGGGTGGCATCTCCGCAGAGACATTTGCTCACCAGCGAAGCATTTCTCCTTGCTGTGTCAGAGGTCATGTTCTCCAAAAAGCCACATTTTGTGGTCAGAAAGGCAGGATGAGACAGGAGACTCTGGTTACTGGGGTTTCTGGCTTGCTGGAAACACCACTATCTTTTTTTTTTTTTTTTTTTTGGCATGGACAGTGTGTTGACAGATGACAGAGAGGAAGATGGTGCTCTAAGTATAAGCAGCTCATGGAAAAGTATGCGCTTTCTTCTGAGGAGTCACTAATATTCCACTGCAGTGTTGTACATAACTCACTAGAAACAATGCAATAAGGACAAGAAGTTGAACAGAACAATTCTTTACTATAATTAAAGTTTCCTGTTCTGTACCTGTTTGAAAGACTCAAGAGGCAATGCATAAACTGCTTACCTGTAGTGGAAATAACCCAGTGTCTGGGGAAATACCCAAGTTCTCAGAGTATTATCATTTACCCTTTTTCTTCCTTCATCATCTAGATCACTCTAAGGATGAAACACAGATCCAAAAGTCTCATCAAGGTGAGTATTGATGCTGAAACTGCAAACTACGCTTTTCAAAGTGACTACTGAACTTCCTCTAGAAGCACAATCCAAAAACACAACGAACTTTACTTAAAAGTTTACTGAAGTGCTACAGAGCCCAGGGAAAAGTTGGGACACAGAAAGGAAGAGAATTAGAGAGCAGAAAACAGAGCGGACAAACAGTTATTTTAGATCAGGATCTTTAGGTTTAGATTCACACCTAACAAGAATTGCCATTTTAGGTCACACACGTGATGTACTAAGAACATACAAGAATTTGGCCTTCCACGAGTCTTCCCATGGTACTACAGGAGTCTCTGGAGGGCTCCCAGACACCAAGTGCAGGCACTGGGAAGAAGAAGGGTTGCATTTTGATTAACCCTTCTACTGCAATAAGTTAGACCAACCTCCTTTCTGTCTGCAGTCGGGGGCAAACAGGAATGTCAGGTAAGAAAAGGTGAGAAGTGCTGTTCATGCCTGGTGGCTACCCAAGGAGAAAGTGAAGATCTTATTACAACTTAAAGGAAAGCAGGGCAAAAGGGACAGAGAGGACGCAGAAATTAAAGCAATAGTGCAGGTACAGATGCATACATATGAAAGCAAATGCCTCCAGTCTCGGCTGATATTTCCTGTCAGTGAAACAAGCTCTGTTACTGCAGATGATTTTGAGAATAGTGAAAAAATGCCTCCACTGTCAGGATAATTCCACTAATTATCACTAGTTAAATGGATGTATGGAGCTGGTTCATGTCTGCACATGAAGCCTTTCAGCATAAAAGAGCAAGCAATAAAGTTGACATATAGGAGTCATTAAATGAAAATAAATTTTTGACAGCAGTACCCTGTGAATTGCTTGTCAGCAGTGTTTTGAGGTAGTATACTCCCAAATTAAAAACCTTTTACGGCTTAGTTGTCCCCCTGGAGAGAGAACAACCCTAATTTTAATTCAAACTTGTAGCCCTTAAGTCCTTCCTAAGTCCCTTAATGCTCTGTTTCTAATATTTGAGAACATGTTCCTCAGGGAGATTGGAAAAGAATTAAATTCCTCACATTTCAATACCACTAATCCTGATTCCACTTCCAATACAGCCCTAATTCTGCCATGTTTACTGAGAATAGATTCTTAAGACTTCAGTTTGGCATGCAGGATACAATACATTTATTGTTTGCTTAAGGTTAGAAACATCAACAGGAACGAAAGACTGCATTCTGCAGCATCTGTAGTAATAATTTACTTTGGTCCTTCTTCATCATCAGTAAAACTACAGCATTTCTGTTGTCTCTTCCCTGACTTAACTGGCTAAATCTCAATACCATTACAATAAGCAAAATTTGCAAGTGAGACTGGCTGTGTCTCATTCTAGGCTTTTCAACTTAGTTTCTACCCACATTAGGCACTTTGTTTTCATGGTGACATTTTTAAATATAAAT